CAAAGAGACAGCCCATGGGCTAGATACAGTCCACAGAGCCAGGTCAGCTGGCCCCCAGCTTTGATGAGGGGATCTTCCTGCAGCTGTAGCCAAATGCCAGCAGCACTGTGGGAAGGATCCCAACACTATGGTTTGTTCCCATAATGGCAGCCAAGCACTTGGGATGCTAGGCCTCTTCCCACCAGGTCCTGGACCTGAAGGTGTGGAAGGGGTCATGGGACCAATCTGGCCTGCAAGACCAGCTCCACTCCATCCTTTGGTCCATGGACTGATCCCACACCACTCATTTGGCCCACATCTGGCCCCACAGAGCCAGATAAGTTTGACACCGGTGAATTAGAATATCACAATCTAGCTCTTAGTGTTAAGTTCACACTTAGAAATGCACCACCTTAGTACAAGAAACTCAGCCATTTGAAAATCTCTTCTGAGACAGACAGGCAGACTCTATGACACAGTTAATAACAGTTACAAAAGTAATTCAAACCTAAGTGAGCTCTCATGTATATTAAAATTTTTCCAATACAATAATACAAGTGTTAAGTCTTCTATACAGGGTTATAGCCTAACTGCACTTTAACTAGGCCCCCTGATTTGATTCTAATTGTATATTGCAATCTTAAGAAAGGAAATCACACACAAAAATAAAATATATTGAGTAATGAATATCCAGGATCAGAAGCTGGAAAAATCAGCAAGCACAGTTAGCTTTGCTAAATTATGGTACTTACGGGAAATAATAGAGGCAGAAATAGGAAATGTTTTAACCTCAATGGTTGATACAAAAACAAAACACATATGGGACAACACAGAATGTTAAGAATGCGTGTGCTGAAGAATGGAGCAAAATTATTTAAATGACAGCAAATTATTTGGTAGAACATGTTCCGCAGGTGCAAATCTTGGCAGCTAGATACCTAACTAACTTTTGCCTCTAAAAACAGCAATCACTGAAAATCTGGCCAGAAGTGACTCTCATTAACCATTTGTTTTCTCCTTTGAGCAGCCATGCTTTGACAAGTAGTAACTATGAAGCCTATTTATGATCTTTAATTGTAGTCAGCCAGTATCTGAGGTCAGTGCATAACACTATTAACTTCAGTAGAGCAACTGTGAATTTTAAACCAGTGTAAGTGAGATTAGTATCTGGCTCAGTATCTTTGTTCTCATCTGAGTATTTGCAAAAAAGGGTGGTAGCTACTTCTAGTAAATCCAACTACTCCACCCTATGCAAAACAATATGCTTTTTTACACAGCCTAGTGCTCATTCCCTTTCCATTCCAGGCCTGATCTTAAATTCTCTGTAAGTCTGAAATACCCATTTAAAACTGGAGAACTGATCTATATGAGGACAATTTTGGAATTGCTGAGGAAATCTGGTACAATGCAGTGCATATCAACATTTAAAAACAAAATTTATATCAATTTAAAGCATAAGCTTTTAAAGTTCAAAATAGCTGGAAGGGATATCCCGAAAAAAACCCCATCAAAATGTAAAGCATGTTCATGTGCTAAAATAAAAAGAGAACAAATAAGCATTTTTAAAACAGCATGTGTGTTCAGCACAGCATGGTGCTCCATACACAAGTAATTTTAAAAAGTGATATAATGCTTTTTAAAGCAATGTTGGACATGTTTACATGAGACATTAACTGTGCAGTAGCCTAATAAAACTGAGCAGTAGCATGCCGGGCAAAAACTGTGCTAGATACACTACTACGCAGTAGTATTAGGCTACTGTGCAGTAAGTATCACTAAAAACCCATGAGCCAATGCTACTGTGCAGTAGTGCAAGTTACTGTGCATTGATTTAGTACTTGGTTAACCGAGTACTAAACTTAATAAGCAGTATCTCTGACACATTAATGAATGTGTAGAGGCACCGACTGTGTCGTACTGGGACAGGGACCAGACTAGAATTCAGAAGACCTACTTCCAGTTCTCTGCTCTGTCTCTGGTTTTCTGGCTGTCCTTAGACAAATTACTTGCATTCTCTTTAACTTCTTTTGCCAATCTTTTAAATGGGGAGAATGATACTTATTTTCTCTGTAGGTTCTTTTATAACTATATAAGAAAGTTGTTATTGTTGTTCACATATTCAAAACTCTGTCAAACACAACTTATTTTTTAACTCAGAAATAGTCCCACTGACATTACTAGAGATATGCTTATTTACACCAGTAAAGTATCTGGTCTGCTGCCATAAACTCAAGAAAAAATATTTAACATTTTAAAATATTTATTTGGCTATGTTTAATGAGTTTCTTTTTATGTTTTAACCCCAACACACATTTTCTCATCCCACTTTCCTTGTTTACACAGAATTGCTATTGAAGTTAATATTTGGACCAGAAAGACTTCAGGACATTTCAGATTTTCTCTTTCCCCTCCTCCCTCCCCCAGAGTAGTCACAGATATATGATGAAATACAAAGTGTTCTAAAATTGATCAAAAGTATTGACATATGTAAAATAGATTTCCAAATATGAATTATTCAGTCACATGTTAATTTCAGTATAAAACCAACCCTTGGTATACACTCAAGTCTCTCTAGACCTTAGACCTCACACACCTAAAATTCCCTTCTGAAGTGACATCCTTAGGCAGTTATATCACCCTGAATTATATTTAATGTCCTCACTGACTACTTCAGTGCCAGATTTCTGCTGGTTTACATTTCTTGTCAGTTTTGGATTTCCATAATGTGATTTTTTAAAAATTCTTGTTGGGTGCATCTACACATGTGCATTTACTGTGCAGTAACCTAAATTACTGCACAATATGGGTGCATGTCTACACATGCACACCTGTACTGCACAGTAAATATGGTGACTTATGCCAACTTGAGCATAAATTTGATACCTGATGCGGGTATCAAATTTACTTCTGATTAGTTACTGCGCAGTAATGTAGATGTAGATGCCTTACTTCACAGTAACACTGTGTGTGTGGATTGACTTGGGACTAACTTTAGTGCTTGGAACTAACACAGTGTTAATGTGCTTTAACTCTAGCCTATTCCCACTTATCGCGTAGTAATTTACTGTGCAGTAAATTTAAGCAGGCGTAAATGCATGTGTAGACACACTGGTTGTGGGCCAAATCCAGAATCCATGACAAAGCACCGGAAGTTTACTCAACCATAGTCTGAGTGTAGGCTGAACAGGGATCTCTATATATCCAACAGGCAAACCTCAATAAAGACATGATCCAGAGCCCACTAAAGCTAGAGGAAATTCTTCCATTGAGTTGATCAGACCCTAAATTCAGAACTTTATGATTGAGGGTCTGGACACATGAACATTTGGAGCCATTTCAAAAGGGCAACAGCTGATGGGTTACAATTGTTATGTGCAGACAAACCAGGAATGATACAAAGGAAGCAAAATTGCTCCAGCTTTAATACTGCTACATCCAGTGTTAAAGCTGAAATGGTTTTGCTACCTTTGTAGCAGGTCCACATGTAACAATTAGAACATAACAGCAGCCGCCCTTCTGAAGTACTCCATAATCTGAATTTGTAGGGTCTTGTTTACCAACATTCAAAACCCATAAAGTTTATTGCAGATCTGGATGAGTATATGCTGGTAGAGCCTATAAACCAGCAGATGGCAAGGTTTTCTGGTGGCTGGCCAAAATAACCCATTTTGGTTCCAAGACAGACTGGAACCCAGTGACAGCCACTGCTGCTTTTCCCTACAACCCAACCACAGCATAGGTAAGTCACCAAGCTGCAGTGTGAGTGAAGCTGTGCCCTCCCCCAGCCCCTTTCCACAGGCCAGATCCAATAGTTCTGTGGGCCAGATCCAGGGCACAGGCCACAAATTACCAGCCCCTGCTGTAAACAATAATAGTTATACATCCGAAATAATAGATCTGTTCCCGCTCTGTGTATGTATGTAATATTCATCAATGTTAATAAATGGATTAGCATTAAAAATACTATTCTAAGGAACAGATCTTAAAGTCCTGTATTTCAGCATAACTTTCGCATGTTCTTTTCTGAGTATTCTTTAAGTTTAGATGACTGCAGATATAAAGACATGTTTCAGCTCTAAGCACCATATCTGACTACAAAGACAGCCACTTCAAAGTTGCCCTAGGCCTCAGCTATCTCATTCAAATCTGTAAATCTTTTGAACCAGAAATGAAAAACAAGGAAATAAGAACATAAAACTGTAGGATATGCTAAATAAACTGGTGCTGGGTCAAGTTTTGTTTAGTGATAGCCTCCTTCTCTCACTATAACACAGGGGAAGATCTTGCATTGTCTTTCACTTTCCACTTGCCCTAAATTAAGAGACAATTGCACCTGTAGCAGCTCAGTTCTGTACTGGATTTCAGTGTATCCATGTACTTACTAAATTCCTGAGCATCTCGGGGCCTTTTACAAATCTATGCTCACAGGACCCTGTGAAGTAGGGACGTGGCTTATTCCCATTTTATTGACAGGACACAGAGGCACAAAGAGATCTGTGATTGTTCTGTAGTCACACAGGGATGCTGTCTCAAAGGAGTGACCTGAGCCCAAGCCTCCCAAATCTACAGCTAACGTGTTAGCCACCCTTTGTATCTAGAAACATCTTTGGAGATGATACACTGTGACAAGAAGTGTGTGACAGGACAAACTCAGGAGTCGTAGTGTCCCAATGTTTCACTGGAGCACTGCAACACCTTCAGACAGGTTTCTGAAGTGAATAAAAATGTCAGTGTGCCAAGGTTAGGATGGATTAAACACAACCATGACCAAGGTGCATCAAACAAGCTATTACATTGCCGCACCGCATTGCAATATTATGAAGTTTCACAGACCCCTACTAAAGTGACTGCAACACACCTCCATGTGGGATGTATAAAATTATGGAGATGAGCCTGGAAACGCATAATGGGAGTTAACTGATGTAACATCACAACACAAATATCATGATATTATCATGCAACAGAAATGGTCAAAGTTCAGACAGACTCTTAGTCATTTTACAGCCACTGCTCTCACTCACCAGTGCTGAATTAGGGGAGGACATGGCTGCCTATCCTTCCCCTGCATCCTAGCAGCCTCCCTGCTGGATGTCTCCGCTCAGCTTTTTAGCGTGGTTTTACTTCTGTGGTAGCCGTATGCAGATTTGCAGACTGCAGCTAGACGGCTCGGGTGTCCATCCGTCCTTTCCTGCTGCTGGCGGCAGCCAGGTCCTCTCCCTCTCTTGCTGGGCCTGCTGCCACTAGGCCTGGTTGATGGAGGAAAAAGCAGCTGCTGAGAGTTGTTGCCAGGACGCTGTCACCATAGAAACCTGCAGTTCAATCTGAGAGAGCCAAACCTCTCCCAATAAACAGAGAGAAAGACTTATTTATAGGAGGCAAATATTCACACACACTCCAGCAGCCAGAACAAATCTCCTTTTAATCACCATTTCCTCACAATTATTTCACAGTAATGTCAGCTCCTTGCAGAAGAGGGAGGGGAAAGATCCAGCAAATAAAAACCTTATTTCATATGTTACAGTGTGAATGACTAACAATGACAGATTCTAGACACAGTATTGGGCCAAGCACAAAAGCAGCGGCTGTGGTTAGCCTGCCCTCTATTCAGCACTGTCTGCGGAGTCCCTGCGCTAATCCACATCGTGCCGGCCAGGGAAGGAAGTTTCCTGGAGGCTCATTTCAGTTACTCTGAATTCCTCCGTGCATAAACAAAAGAAGAATCTGTCCTACAAATGTGGACTTTCCCCAAATCAGGGTCGAACACAGAACAGTCAAATTGTGTCAGTTTGAATGACTGGCAATTTTAAAGAAAAGTTTGAAAGGTTAAGGGGCATATTTTCAATTGGTCACAAAGCTAGTCTAGTATTTTCTTTCTGTAAAAACACGCATGTGTGTTATAGCATTCGAATGTGTACATTTGCACAAAAAAGGGATGTGATCCATAGGAAACAGATAGCCAGAATACCTAGTGTATCCCTCTATTTTTACACTGGCACGATTCTGTTGCTTTGATTGAGTTGCCTTTGAGCAACCTAGCAGTAATCAAACCTAGTGTAGCCAAGCAGATACCAACTACATTTACTTTTGGCTGAAACAGATATCAGATACCACTATTGTTATCAACACAAATCGTTGCAATGGTAGCAATCAAGTATATGTGGTAATAAGCTTATTGGTATTCATATACTTTTATATAAAAGTAGTTAGGGATCTGAACCAATGTGTCGATTGCCTTCTTTTCACAGTTAAGTCAACTGTATCTCAGAGGATTAGGCCTAATGTGGAAGTAGATACTTTCAAAATTAAATAGTAACTTGACAAACACGGGTCCTAAAATACAACTGTATTTCCTCACGCTACAAATACTTAGTTATACTTAACATTATATGTATGTGTAGCCCCACTAACACCAAAAGGACTGGTGCCAAACTACTTATGTACATAAGTGTTTGGAGGATTGAGCTTAAGGTTTTCAAGCATAAAAGTAAAAGTAAGTTTTGTTTTTTTGTTATTCAGAGCTGAGCGGTGTTTTCCTTTTTGAATGAACAGAAATATTTGTGCACTTCTACTTCCCATTGATATTTATGAGTTTTCACTGTGCAAGGAGTACAAAGCACTATAGATATAGTTACTAGGTTTTTAGTTGTAGCTGTGTTGGCCTAAGGACATAGGCAGGCAAGGTTCTTTGAGTAAATGTGATATCTTTTATTAAACCTACTGAGTACTCAGTTGGTCTAATTGTTTATGGTTTTTAACTCTTTTGTTGCTCATACCATCCTAGAACTTGGAAAATTAATTGTTTCCTTTGACAATTTGAAAAACTTGATTGTGTTTCTCTAAGCTAAAATTAACCCAATTAAAAATCTGTCTTATTATAAATGATACCTTATCAAGCCTGATTGCTTTTTTACCTGTACCCAGGCTTGCTTGATATCATCAACAAAGGGAAAACAAAAACTTTTTGTTTTTGTCTAGTCCTTTGATGTTTTTATTTTCTGATAATGGAAAGATAGATTTAATTTTTCAAAGATGTATTTAAATAGTTTTCCTTGTCAAGATGCCATAATAACAACAATTTATTTAATAGGGAAGTAAAGTTTTTTTGGTGATATCTTTTGCCAACTAAAGTGGGAAGTATAGTGGGAAGAGATGTTAGACAAGCTTCTGAACACAAAATGTCTCTTCTTCAAGTCACCTGAAGGAATGAGAACTTATTTCATGATGGAACTTGACAAGTAATGAATTGGATTGTATGATGCCATTGCCTCTGATAAAAAATTCCCTTTCTATCAGAGGCAATGGCATCATACTTCCAATTCATTAACTTATCAAGTTCCATCATGAAATAAGTTCTCATTCCTTCAGTCAGTTAGAAATCTTCCTCTAATTTCCATTCATTATAGTCATTCCAGATTAATATCAGTAGAAGCAAGAGCAAAATTTTGTATGAATAGAATTTTCCAATTAGGTTCAGCAAAAGGAGACTAACTCCCTGAACCTAAGTTTAAGCTATTCCTTAATTAGATCTAAAATCAGTCTAACATCACAATTTTAAGGATAGATTTCACAATTTTTCTCTGGCATATAGTGAAAAGGCAGAAGGAATCCACTGATTATGTTGTTCTTGCTAGTATTATTGTATTTACTTAATTCCAAGACAACGTTTTTATACCTCATCTTAGATGAGGGAAAACAGACCCTCATCTTAGAATCAAGTAAAAGTGCAGTACTTGTAGTTGGAAGAGGAAGCAGGAAACCACTTAGCAAGGCACAGAGTAGTGAAGGACACAATGCAGAGGCATGTAGTGGTGCAGAACCCAGGCTGGAGGCACAGGACAGTGCAGAACAAAGCACAGAGCAGGGAGTGGCATGGGACCCAGCACGGAGGCAAGGAGTGGTGCGGGACCCAGTGCAGAGGACCCAGCATGGAAGCACAGAGTAGCATGTAAGCACATGTTGGCGTAAAGGCACCAAGCAGTGAGAGACCCAGAGTGGAATGGATGGCACAGAGGCACAGGATGGTGTGCAACATTCAGTGCTGTGGGACCTGGTGTGGTACGGGACGCAATGCAGAGGCATCCAGCGGTGCAGAATGCAGCAGTGGTGCAGGCTTTTGTGGGGGCCAAGGGACAGGGGTGACAGGTGGGGGTGGCAGGCAGCAGGGGAAACAAGTGGCCAGGGGGGCAGGCACCAATGAAGGTAAGTGGCAAGGCACCAGAGACAGGCAGGCATATGCATACCCGGAATGGCAGAGGTGGGGTGCAGGGGAGGGGAAGTGACAAGGCGACAAATTGCACGGGGGCAAGGGACTGGGGTCAAGTTGCCTGTTCCCTCTGGCCACTTGTCTCACCGCTGCTTCCCGCCTCCCCGTCCTGCTGCTTCTTCCCATCCCTCCCACAATGGTGAGAAGGGGACAAATTTTAAATAACCCTCCAATAATTAGACTCTATACATGAAAAAAATATATAACAGATGGACAATTTTCCATGTATAGAACCTAATTTGGGAGGGTGGGGTGTCTTAAACTTAACGTAATTTTAGATTTGGGTAAATATGGTATTATTTTTCTAGTAACTACCTCAAAGTTCAATTGTCCTAGACACTAAACAAATGCATGCTTAAGTCTGTTTTAGGCATGCTTCTTGAGTATGTGTGCTTTTTTTAATGCATTAGAAACAAAGTAAGGTTGTGTTTCAATGGTGAATCAGAATGTGATTCAGAGGATGGGATAAAAGTTAGAGTCAAATAATTTGATAATTGACTTACAACTTGCTAAACCTGCTCATTACAATTATTTAAATATTTTACACATTGTGATTTAAACACAATCAAATGAAACCATAACTTCCTGTTCTCCTTTAATAGTTGCCCTTGCACTTCTTTCAGTATTCCCCCAAAAGTCTCCTTGGATTCTGTCATTTTATACAAGAGAAATTACTCTGTGTTTACTCGAGTGTAACTGGGAGCAGAATGTTCCAATCTGTATTTTGGCAAACATGTTAAGGATATTAAAGTGGGCATTTACAATTTGAAAAGAAAGTCAAACAAAATCTAGAATGGCTAAAATTTGTTTAAGATAAACTGGTTATTTTCCTATAGCATAATTTCAATATCTTTCTAAGAAAACACAAAATGTGTTATAAAATTATTTTTCAAGAATGATTACAAGACATCTTAGTGACTTCAGGCATTTTAATATCAATAAAATTATTCTGATCTATAAATACAAATCTTCCATCTGGAAAATTCATTTTAAATGTACGCAAAAACATTATACTAGAAAGGTAAATGTAACATGTTTACTGCCCATGAGTTTCCATAACTACAGTAGATTTTTAGATTGCAGGCAAAGTAAAAGTAGGATTCTGTGAAGTTTTCAAAAGTTTAAAAACATATTCTTGAAGATAATTTTAGATAGATATTTCAGTGTATACGTTTGTTAGATGCTGAACACTCTGGCTTTGGTTTAACAAAACACTTAAATATATGCCTACCAGTAAATCAGTGAATCTCCTCCTGCACTTTAAGTTAAACTTATGCATAAGTGTTTTGTTGGATAAGAGCAAAAGTGCACAGCAGCTATCAACACAAAGTATACAGTACTCAAGTCAAGCAAATACCTTTTGTATGTTCTGATCTCATCACTTCATTGAGGCAGTGACACCAAAACAAATCAACATGAAAGATTTCTGATTATGATGTTCATGTTCAGTTAGGTAAATTCATTCTTTATATCCTCTGGGCATGTTTGTTTGAGTAGTAAAATCATATTTTATACCTGAGGTGTCACACTCATCTGGGGCCCTAGGCTGGATTCGGACTGCGAGGTTCCTTATGGGCCAGATCCAGCCTCGGGCACAGGACAACAGCCACGGCTACTGCAGTGGTAGTGGCAGTTCTGGTGGTCACCACAGTGGTGGTAGCATGACAGCAGGGGTGGCAGTGGGACAAGAAGCTGCAGGCCAAGCAGCTGCTTGCCATGGCAGAAAGTGCAAGTGGCAGCATACCAGATGGCTGCAGGGCACCCAAGGGCTGTGGTGCATAGTTCTTACTTACCTGCTGCTACCAGGGGCCATGTCCACCATGGACCCAAGGCTTTGGATTCTCCACCAGGCCACACCCACTGCTGGCTATGCCCCCCATTTCCAGACCCCAAATATGGTGATGGGCTGACCCTGAGCAGGAGGCAAGACCCTCTAGCTAGGAACCTCCAGATTTGTCCCAGCAGGAGTACTGGCATACTCCAGTCACAATCCCCAGCCTTGACTGAAGCCAATACCCAATAACGCTAAGGAAGGCTTAAAAAGCCCCCCTGATACATGTAGCACCAGCAGATGAATTCTCTCCTGGCGCCATTCAGCAACCAGCAAAGCCCAGAAGTATGGGAAATACCTATAGTAGCAAAATGGCATTGCTATGCCTGTATTAC